ATGTTAGGTGTGCCAGTTGGGTCACTTTGTCTGCTGTGTCTAGCTGGCATAACTCAGACACGCAAGTGTCTGAATAATTTTTTTTTTCCTACTTTGCTGTAGTGGCTTATATTCAAAAGTCAAAACCAACATTAGCTAATCTCCAAACATTTATGTGAAAGGTGAATGTTTTACTTATGTGGAAATGGAGGCAGAGGTTGAACATCTGTAAAATAGATGTTTGGGGTCAGAACTGGGGTTGAAATTCAGGAATTCCAGCCTTCCAATTCTACTATTTAGTCAGCTAAAAGAAATGTCCTGCTCCTAGTATCTCTTAGACTTTATCAAATTTAGTTTGACCCAGGCTTATTGCTTTATAATAAAGTGAAGAAAGTATAACACAAGTAGTGTTTCCCAGAAGAAGTCACTACAGATAATTGTAACGTCACACAGGCCTCTGACAAATACCTTTTTTAAAAATTTTTGCAATAGGATGAATCAGGGGTCTGGCTAGAGCTAATCAACAACTTTAAATATTTTATGTTTTATTAATAAATGATTGATGAAAAATAGCATGTAACAGTTAGCATTATACCATGGTGAGAGGTAGTTTACCAACATTGTAGCTGCAATAATAAAATGCATAGGGGCATTAGATTATAGTGAACAAAAGGATCAAGTCACTGCTGAGAAGTGGGATGAGGCAAGTGGAATTCTTCTGTTGACAAGTGATTTGGCTTTGCAGAAACTGCTGAGGTCTGGACTATGAAATGAGTTACAAATTTGTCTTCAACAGCAAAGGAGTTCCATTACCTAGTGTGTACAAAACTACTTCTACTTGCCTTGCACCTTCTTTAAGTGATCTCACTATGACTGAGTTGTCGTGTCCCCTAAACAGAAAGACTGGAAGCAACAAAACCAATCAGTGATTTTGCACCTGATGCCAATGAAATGGCTTTCTCCAGAAAAATTTAACAGTAGATGGCAGCAGATACTGCCGGATGTTCTGCAGCTCTCTAACCCAGCTTATTTTCCTATTCTTTTAAAGGTTGTGTCATAACAAACAAACAAAGGTATATCTTCCAGAACCTCCTTTTCCCCATGCTGAGGTAAGTAAACCATGGTCTTGCTGTTTGCTAAGACCGCAGAGTGAGTGGGTTTCTGGAACACAGTCCTGTGTGGCTGTTGTTTTTCCGATGAACACTTCTACAGCTATTTAATAGTTTTGTGTCATTATTCATACAAGGTTTCTTTTTCCCTTTGTTTTCTGTGATTAATTTCGGAGCATGGGGGAGGAATGAATGATGGTGTTCCTTCAACTCAAAAATTATCATAATGTTTATTTCAGCATATAACTTACATATGCTCGCCTGTTTTACTTCTTCCCCCACAGAAGGCTATCTGGCGTACACATGGTTGAATGTTTGCTCTTATCAGACTGCAACCACAAATATTCTCTTTGTCCAAGCAGTTTATTTCCAAGTCTGTAAAACTAAGAGCTTGTTATTGAAGACAGCTTAGTCATCCCAGCTCCTACCTACCTAGCTGAAACAGGCATCATGTTGTCTGCTGCAGGAGTAATGGTATCTTGAAAGAGAGGTTTGATATTAAAAAGTTAAAGCTTGCAGCACTGAGTGCTGTCATTGGCAATTTTAAATTAAATTACTTGAGCTAGCATCTTGGTGACGCAAAAAGGAGTAAGGTTCCTGTTTGTGGGGGGAATCTGCCTGCAATGAGGGGATCTTCCCTGTGACAAAATAATAATTTGAGGGGAAGTTTTAGCCAACCAGACATTAAATGTGGCATGATTCATGCCTTCAGAGTTATCTCACAGAATTATATAAGAAAGGAAATACCTTACTTTCTTCACTGGGAAGAGATAGATTTGCCACTGAAATAAATGAGAGGCAGTCTGTGAAAGAAAGAAATGGGACTGAGAAATAATTTTGACTAAATCCTCTCCTTGTGAGACAGAGAGCCATTTGGGGCATGCAGTCTCAGAAAACTGTCTCTTTTAGTTCCTATGGTCAAAACTGTTTGATGAGATGTGCAGAGTGGCCATTGCAGGTTTGAGAGTCCAGAGTTTAAATGCTTTTTCAGGCATTTGGGTTTTTTCCCTCTGAGATACCTCATCCAGGGTCTTGTTCTGGAAATTGCCATTGCCCATCATATCTATGATGATAGATATCAAAAAGGCATTGTTGGAAGTAGGAT